CTCGACCGTTTCCTCGTCTTGTCTCATGTAGTCCACTTGCGGATTAGTCGTACGTTTGGCCTTCACACTATTGTGACGCTCATTCGACATGCTCCTGTATTCCACAGAAGCAAGAACGCTTCAATATCAAATACAGAGCATTAACGCACTCGTAACTGCCCTTAGTTTCAAGGTTACCAAATTTCCCCAATTATTTAACAGGAGTACAAATTTTCTGAAGAATTTTTAAACGCAGTGGAGTTATTTCTCCATCTATCGACAATCCTAGTTTTAGTACGGAGATTCCCAAGAAGCCGCAGTTTTAAAATGAAGAGTTAAGATAGCAAGAAAAAAAGCCATTAACTGCGTGAGGTTACGCATGACAGCAAGAATATCTAAAAATCTACATGGAATGACATAATATAGGATGATATATACTATATTCTACATAGAGCACTTAATTCAATAGTCGGAGGCATCCTGCAATACACATGAGATCGATCACCGCGCCCTAGCTCATCAAGCTTTCCATCCCTCCGAGGTAGGCAAATTGGTACAAGACTTGTCTGGGAGGAGAGGATCGATACATCGGTAAAGCACCGCGAGTCATGTATTGGTCAAATACGCTTTCAATCAACTCCAACAATGCTTAATGAGGTTGAACGCATGACGCATCCCTCAGAGAATGATCAACGTCGAAAGTTTTATGCTTTATTTATACACTGTATAAAATCTGATTAATATAACGTCTAAGAATCTTTATAATAGATACATCTTACCGCCGATTGATTTTTGGAACTCATAGAGGCACATTTCCCGCTCATGTTAACAAATTCCGTGCGGCCGGCAGTGGAAGATTCATAGGAAACGGAAAGTGTTTAAAAAAGCTGTTTCTCGTGTGACTGAAACTCAGGAGCTGGTTTTTTTCCTCCAACAATGAAGCACTCCGTCTACTCTGAGAGAGATTGGCAAGCTACTGATGAGTATGCTCAACAGCCACGTTCGAATTCGGTAAGATATTCTTGGGTATCAAATACTAAATATAGAAAGACAAGTGGACCTCATTTTCGTGACCATCAAGGAGCACCCAATACGACAGCGCCATGTATGACGAGTATGGAGAGGCCAATTTCGAAAGACTGGGATGACGATCGCTACCTACCATGGACACTCACTCGCTTGAGTCCTCTATAGAGGAGCATGTAGGCAAGATAATGGACGATGTCATCGAACTGGCTTAGACGAGAAAATATCGTCATTTTAACGTAGTCTAAGATACCGGAGAAGAACTGTTCCTCGGAACATACGACAGTAGAGAGGGCGAAGGGGTCGGGGCTCTTGCCAACACTAGTTTGGCTATGAATATCGATCCATTCGAGGAACTAACAGCCCGAAATGGACGCTTACGGTTGGAGAGATGTTGATCAATACTGGTTTTGATAATCCTGGTCGTACACACACCGAGATAAGCTACGACGAAGACGAAGTCGAAACGTTCAATGTGGACTTCGAGAGGTTCTACAGAAAAGACCTATGAGCACACTCTTCAAGGTTATCACTGAAGACTTTAACGCCAATATTGTAACCAGAAGAAAGTCTGGAAAACATCATATAAAAGCCCACAGATTAGAATGAAACGAGGAGGGTGGGTGGCTGTCTGAGTATATCATGACCACCAAGACCATTCATGGTAACGGTAAATAATTCCCCACCCTCAGCGTTGGGCGTGGGAGTCTTCCATTGGAGAGTACTTGATACTTGATACTTGAACGGCCCGCCCTCACTAGCTGTGTGAGCCCCAGCATAAGCGCCATTTTTCGAAGATTTGTTGGTTAAGCTATTGTGGTTTCTTGGAATCCCGAGGGCAGCCTGGCCAAAGTCTGCCTCAGGTCTTCACCACCACGGGCAGTCGCTGCCCTTGTGGATGAGAGGGAGATTTGCCACCATGCGACTTTGATACCAGGACGATGGTGGATCCTGGTATTGGCTTACTCTTAGCTAAGCTTCTTGATAGGAACGCCGGACTCCTTCTCAGCTTGGGAGACCCTGCCGGAGAGACGAATCCCCGTTACTTCGCAGTCCGACACCCAGGAATACCTCCCAGCCACGATGAGGCGGTAAACCGTTGGGATGCTTCCCAGTAATGTTGTCGAAATAGAAAAATGTTGAAAAAAGCGCTGTAATTCGGTATAATTACGGTATACTATAATTTCGCGGCAGGGCACTAAGCGAAATACAAATGTGACAAAAAGATCGATAGAAATAGCTGAGAGACAGGCGAAACGAAGAACCCGCATGGTGTGGTGGTGAACGCGTTACTCCCCGGAAAGGATAATAGCGCGTTCGTTCCCCACCATAGACACCTGCGGTCCAGAGTTTTGCAAATATCTCAGCAACGTTGTGGTTGTATTTCGCTTAGTAACCTGCCATGAAAATTATAGAAGGCAGAAAACAAAACGTTAAACATATATGTACATATATACTTATATATATTATATATATTTTATATATATATGTATTTATATATGTCATGTATATTTATTTGTGTACACAAATGTATACAAGTACACATATATACATGTATATGCGTATATGTGTATATATGTATGCATATAAATAAATATATATAATTGATATATATATATATTTATATATAGGGCATGTGGCGCAGTGGTTGGAGGCCCCACTGCGGCACACACGTGGAATCGATCTCTGCACCGTTGGCTCACCAAGCCTTCCATCCCTCCGGTGTCGGCGAATTAGTACCAAACTTGTCTGGGGGGATAGCAGCACTTGCTCGATACAGCGATAGGCCGCCGCGAGTCATTGTAAAGGCCAGATTGTATTCAATCACCTCTAACGATACTCAATAAAGTCGAATGCATGGCGCATCCCTCAGGGATTGATCAATGCCTAGAGCTTTATCCTTTATCCTCTATATATGTATGTATGTAGTCGTTGGGCGAGGGCTTACCGCAGTGGTTAGTGATGTTATGGATCAGGAACCAAAGGCGCTAGTTCGATCCTCCGCCAACTCTCCCCCTGGGAATGCCTTACCCCAGGCGTCCCGTCCAACTTTCTACGACATTCATAAAGAAAACGAATTCCTCAAGCAGCAGTCAAAACAATGCGCAAAATATTGAAAATCTTTGTGGACGATGAATGTGGCGAGGAAAACGAATCGAATGCAGAAAACTCCGGTATTCGCGCAGCAGATGTGGCGGCGAGCCACTTAAAAAAAAACTATGCCCTTCTATGACCTCATTTCTGGATTACAATTTTCAAACGGCTTAAGAACACAATGTTGGTCACCTCACTTTCGAACAATCGTTCGAAGCACTGCATGGAGCCATTGCTGCATGAAATCTATTTCGCAAACCCACATGCTGAATTCATTTGCTCCTCCAGTCAAATATATGTTTGCTTTGATTTTGGCTCCCGTTCAAACCGTTGTTGATCTGGTTATATTGATGAACAAGGAGCCAGTTCGAGTAGCCCTCGTCAAGTGACATAAATCAGTGAAGCAATCCTAGCATGATCTATTTTACTACAAATTCACCATATAGAAATCTCTATTCCAATTGAAAAATTATTACGTGTCGGCCCTTCTACCACTGGCGGAGTTTTCTGTTTTCGCTTGGATAGTAGTTGAAAAGTACTAGTAATAGGTTTTTAAACCTTGTCACGAGCGAGGAATGTCATTGCTTCTGCTAGTTGAGCTCAAACATGGGTAAATAAAACTTTATATAAATAATGCAACAATAACAATATAGCAAGTCCAACAATTTACGGTGGTTGCTTGAGGACCGAAGAACCACCTCTGTGCACCAATGGTGATACAGCATTCTGAATACGCAAAGTTTAGAATAATCGATTTTATGCTAGAGAAAAGATCCGTGGGCGTAAAAGGCCAGACAGAGAAACACGGATGATCTCTCATAAGCTAATGTTGACTCCTACATACCGACATGCATGGAAGTTAGATGTTACTGCAGTGGTCATTAGTTTTCCGAGAGTGTTCTTACTAGTATTCAGATGTATCAAACATTGGGGTTGCTCAGCTCTCCCCAGCCAATGAAACAAGAACAGCAAATAGTTATCACTAATCATTTCATATTTAAGATAAGAAAACACAAGATAGGATAGAAACAAGGAAGATTCTATGTGAGGTAGAAAGTAATCTCTACAAGGTGGTCACGAAAACAGAAGCAGAAGTGGGCTGTCCAAGCCTTCTGCAAATGTCTATAATCATGTCATAGGGAACAGTTGCCTTCAAAAACTCAGTCAAAACGGCATATACATTAATGCGTTTATAATTTCTGATTTCGACGGTATTAAAGCCTATAAGAACTTTTCGGACATTGAAATGCCACAAATATCCAGGATTCATGAGTTGAGCTCGTACTTCGCAGATCGTTTTCCACAGAATCGGTCATTGTATGAAAACCAACATAAGATGAAAAGGCATAGGAAATTGATAAGAGCAGAACACGGAAAAAACGTGAAATACCAGTAAGGGAAAGCTGAATTATTCGATACGTTCAGTGAGTGCAGTGGTCCCCGCTGGGCCAAACTAATTTGGAGCGATGGAAGAGCTTCAGAAAAGAAAAACTGTAGTCTCACAATGGAAGAACTGTTTTCTAGCCCACCGTCTTTCTTCTTTGAATGTTTAGTAGTAGAATTTAGTCGTCTCCAGGTTGCGATAAAGAATTACTTATTACAGATTTCAAGGGGTCAGCAAATTCCATTCGATGAAAACTTTATCGCTTAAATACAAGTGCGAAGTTGCTGAAATAAGAAATCTATTATTTACATGACACTGAAAACAAGAAAGTCGCAATCATCGGTTGGGGTTGCGTGAGCCTCAAAAATTACTTGATAGCAGCACTGAATAATATCAGAGCTATCGATATGTCGTTTAGAGGAAGTGGCAAATGAAACTCGGAAAGTTATCTCAACATAAGATTCTTTAACCGTATTGAAAATGCTGATCCTGAAAAGACTGGATGCTGAGCTGTCAGTCATGTCACCTGGGTGTGGATTAGCGACTGCAGATGCAGATGCAGTGCTTCAAACGACGGTCTGGATTGAGGGTCATATTGCCAGCACGGCGTCAAGACATTGGCGAACACGCTATCAGGACACAAGGGCGGGCGCTCCAGTGTGTGCTGAATAAGTGGTAAAACTCAAACTGGGTTAAACACATAACAAGGTTCCTTTCTGATCCGCATTGAAGTAAATTACCTTTTACAGCTTAAGATTTCAGTGGTTTTACCATCACTGGACGCTTTCAGTTACTTCTAACAATGATCGAACTTGACATTACCAAATGGAGATGAATTGTAAATGATCCTTTACTTAGAATAGAAGGTCGGTCGTGGAAATCTTTTACTTAATTTTTTAGTTGGATCGCTTGAGGCATAGACAGACATTCGGAAATAGGACTTTTTTCAATGCTAGGGTAGTAAAAAATCAGAACTTGCATTAATGTAATAGTATTACGATGAGGATTGAAAAATGGAACCCAATTTGAGGAATTTGAGGGATCTTGAGGAATTCGTTTTCGTGCTCCATTCAAACATGCCAGCAACCAACCTCCAGGACAGAGGTGGAGCTCATAAGATGGATGTTCTCCAGAACTCGGTCGTCTGTTAGAGAGCTATATGGCTTCTCACGACACAGGCTAAACACCTCCCATAGTGTCACTCCAAATGACCATACGTCGCTATGTGATGAGAATTTGCCCTAAATGAGGATAACGATGATATGGATACATGCTGCAACTATGTTAAAGCCGTTGATCATGAATCTTAATACATTGAAGAACAGAATGCTTGAAGAATCTGACGCTGTTGTATACAATGTATGATAAGTGAACACACATTTCATTGGTGCACGATGATGTAGGAGACTACGCCTTTGAAAATTTTCTCTTTTCAAAGACTACGCTTACCAAAAGCAAACTTTCCCACGCCATCCAACGAATCGGCAACACAAACATTCCCTCTACAAGATAGTAATCGTTAGAATATAAACTGCGAGCCATGCCAAAGTCTGCGATTTTCACATTCCCTTCCTCATCAACAAGGCAGTTTCGAGCTGCAATATCCCTGAAATCAAAGGCGAGTATTGAGGAGTCGTCATACAATGTCAGTGAAGAGGTTGGTAGGTAAGAAGTAGCACGTCTATTAACCGGAAGCAATTGTTGAAAGAACTTCAGAATGCTATCAGTTTGTAACATATGAAATGTCCGATTTTACTGCTACTGCAGTACAGCAACGTAGTTCTGTCAAGGATACGAAACTCAACAACTGAGCAGCAGTCATAACAGGAAAGACTACACAAGAGTAGACCAATCAATTAGATGGTTAAATTCGTGGTTGGCCCGCTAAAAAACATCTGACATAAATTCATTATGGGACACCATATTTCAGGTTCTCTTTTTCAAACCACACCCATCGCTCTCTACAAGTACATGACTATGAAAAAAGTCCCTTGTAATAACCTTTTGTTCCATTTGTTTTCATTGTATTCTCTCGGTATATTTGCACATAACAGTAAGTCAATAGCAGTGAAACTTTACGTTACGAGGCGCACCTGTGAACGAAGTGACAGGACTCCAGGTAAGCCAGTCCTGCAGCCAGCTGCGTAGCCACAGAGATACAGTAGAGTGTGCTGAAAAGCAAACATTTCATGAAATGGTAAGGGTCTGCAACATCTTTGGCAAAAGCACTTTTTCGATTCCTTTTCTATCACTTCACTTTAGAAATTTCTAGCATAATTGTTACCTCCAAATGCTTCATGATTTTATTAGTTTTGCTACTTTCTTGTAGCACTTTTGTTCACGGAGTAAGGCTGGAATAACCTACTCGACGTGTTCCAGCTTACTCATAAACGACTTCAGATCGCCATTCGCCATGTACTCCATTATACAGATCATCGGTTTGTCGATAGTCGAGACGCCGATCACTTCAACGACGTTCGGATGTTTAAGGTTTCCTGGAGTAACACAGTGGATTCTCTATGTAATTTTCTAAAAGCTTTAGAAGAACAAGAACACATTCATTACTCTAAATTCTGAAACTGTCACTCCTCGAGGAGTATAAAAGGTCTTTGCTTGTTCTATAAAAACAATTTCTGTAAATGCGCAACTGATATTGACATAAACGAATGCCCTATCTACATAATCTTAATTCTATTCTTCCTCAACCTGAAGGGACTATTACGACAAACTGTACTTCCAAAAATGCATGTTAATCATGATGATAGGGAAAAAGACCACTTACGATGTCATCAGACTTGCTGAGACAAGAAGATACAGGCTAATAGACAACATATATTTAATTATGATGTTAGATGAACAAGAACTGCTCCTCGGAACCCAAGGGATGGTAGGGAGGGGTGGGTGGTTGGAGTTTTCGCCTATGTCAGTGTTCATGCGAAAATGAGCTCATGAATATTCGTCACTATGAGCAACTAGATTACTGAATGAATACGTTTAAGAAAGATGGAGACCAAGGTTCTTTAACAGCCTTTGTAGCTTACCTTCAAAAACAGGATATAACCATGGCGACGTAGAAGTATTACATCCGGATTCGGAGAAGTTTTACAGCAAAGGCACATGTTCGTTATTATATTTACATTGCAACTTCAATGACAGGTCTCGTTCCAAGAAATCATCTGGACCGACAGATAGGAATGGGATAAACAGAACGAGAAGCTCAACATTTTCACAAAAAGTACTCATTGTTAGTTTGCATTTTCCAGAAGCTTTTCTCTCAACGTTGATCATAGGAGTCTCTTAATGGACGGTGCAATAGCAAGATAGGACACGTCGGCATAGCAAATAGGTTTTGCCTAGTCGACGTTGCAAATGTACGAAAATTTCACATCGGATAGAAGCTTGATCTTTATGGAGTATAGTCGATTCTTACCGAAAATGAGTGTAAGCGGCAAAATTCAAGCAAAAAAAAATAAGGAAACCATCTCTCTTTGAGATCTTTGAGTTTGAGATCTCTCTAGATCCGTAGCCGTTTTTTACGGCATTGATGAGGAGTACGACAAGCTTATTCGGAAACTTTTCTTCGGTTAGCCTCCATGAATTACAGCATTAAAAAGTTAGGAGTGAGCCGCCAAGAAAAATTGGTTTTCAGTAAAGAAACATTCGAGTCCATACACTAATGCAGTCGGACGAACCGTAACTGCCTCTGAGCCACTTTGGAGGCTGCCATGCTCCTGATAGAAGTGACAGAAGAAAAACCTAGAAAAGCATCACTATTGGCCGAATTAGCAAAGATCTAAAAGACCTTTCTCAGTTCTCGCCAATACTTCGCCAATTAAATGATCCTGCAGCGTCAAGAGAGAATAATCACTTCATCAAAGTGGAAGGTGAAAGAGGTCGTCAACAACGTCAACTATGATCACCTCAACTACCGCACTCAGCTACATCCATATAGAAAAATAATTTAGAAATATTTTTTCCAATCTCTAATCTGACTGCTTACTGCTATCTAAGAAATTTTCACTTTGGATATTAACAAATGAACTGTCAAAGAAGATGACACATAAGACTTTGTGAAGATGTAATTCAGTGAGATTAATTACATCCACATCGCAATGAAACGCCCTAAAGTGCCGAGTGAGTGAAACGGACCACTTTATCTTATTCTTATCGCTTCATATGCGAAGTATAAGACGATCCTATGCCTCCAAATATCTTGTCAGTTAATCTCACGGTTAGCAGCGACGACCTCCTTGCTCAGTATAGGAACATTCTTTTCAAACTATACAACAACTTTACAACCAAGCTATAAACAATTCCACAACGAAGTGAACATTAATGCAAAGACAGAGGTTCAGCATTGCGATAATATCGCATCAAAACTATTTGCATCTACCACTCCCCACGACCGTTATGCGATCATTACAATGGAACAAAATGGGGATGAAAATCGATGGTCGGTCATTACGTCATCGCTTAGCTAATGATATCGTTCTCGTAACCAAGCATTAGTCAAACGAAACGAAGCTGTTGGCCAGCTTCAACAACACTTGTAAACAAATTTGTCTTCAACTAAATTTCATAGACCTCTCAAAGGTTCGCCCCCTCATTGTGGCTGGGAGGTGTTCATGGGTGCCGGACTGCGATGTACAGTGGGGGGATTCGTCTCCCCGGCAAGGTCTCTCAAGCTGAGAAGAAGTCCGGCGCTTCCATCAGGAAGGCTTGCTAAGAGTAAACCAATACCAGAATCCACCACCGTCCTGGTATCAAAGTCGCATGGCGGCAAATCTCTCTCTGATCCACAAAGGCTGCGACTGCCTGTGGTGATGAAGGCCTGGGGCAGACTTTGGCCAGACTGACCTCGGGCTTCCAGAGGACCACAATGGCTTAACCAGCAAATCTCCGAAAAATGGTGATTATGATGGGGTTCGCACAACCAGTGAGGACGGGCCATTCAAGTATCGAGTCAGTAAGTAAATTTCATGGAAACGATGTTCATTGAAAAACGGAATCCTTTCTCATGCTGCAATCGTACTTAATGAATTGGGTATTTCCGGAAGCTCCAGATTTGTGTCTCTGAATCAGAAAATTAATGTTATAAATGATATGACTTGAAACAAACCGAGAAGGAACAACCAGCTTGAGAATCTCATAAAGTCGTCGTGAAGATGGAAGACGATTCTTCCAGTTTTAATGTATGTGTCCGAAATCCGAACGTCAGCATAATGGAAAGACACCTAGAGAAATTCAAGTAATGTAAATGGGAGAGGGGCAAGGTTACAAATCACATCGATAATCAAGGATCAAAGATTCCGTCATACACTCCCAGATTCCGAAAATTAGATCTGGGTCAGCACGCGTGGCGCGCCTTAGTGGCAACCTGTGTATAGGAGCCGTTTGCGACTGAGACCAAAAGGATGTCAAATGCACTGCAAGGAGACCAGCAACAAAATGATCAGGTTTAATGACAAATATACTAAAAAAAAGTGATGCCTCTCGTATTACCGAACCGAAGCGGATACACCGGCTACTCTTGCAGGCGGCGGGAAAAGCTGGAATTTCCTGATGTTCGTTCGGTGCGTGCGACGACCAACGAAAGGAGAGGTGATCAGGTCGTCATGAGCTTTGTAAGTAATGAACTCTTATTGTCGACATGCATGAATTTGCTTAGCCAGGTTTTAAAAAAAGGTGAAAAAACTGTTGATGACGAAAAGCAGCAAAATGAAGCACTATTCGGTGAAAAGTATTAATTTAAAAAAATAAAGGATAAAGCTCTCGGCGTTGATCAATCTCTGAGGGTGCGCCATGCATTGGTCTTCATTAAGCATTGTTGGAGGTGATTAAATGCATATCCGGCCTTTGCAATGACTCGTGGTGGCCTACCGGTGTATGAGCCACTGCTGCTATCCTCCTAGACAAGTCTGATACCGAATATTCTAGTCTGATATCCCAGAGGGATGAAAGGCTTGATGAGCCACGGGCGTCGAGATCGATTCTACGTATGTGTTGCAGGGCGCCTCTAACCACTACGCCACACGTGACCTTACGAAAAGATGAGAAGTATTAATAGCGAACATAATGTGTTTTACCTAATACTCTAATTTCGCGCATGAATGCGACTTCGTCTTCGTGGGAAACGCTGTTGAGACGTTTCACAGCAACCTGACGCGATTCCAGAAGGCAGCGATGTAACTAAAGTAGATATCTCTTTATATCTCTTCTATACTTGAACAACTGAAGAGATACCTCTCCAAATTCTCCTTGCCCAATTTTTTCAATAAATACTAGTTGGTTTCTGTTTATTTCGGGCAGCGTTGTGCAGTACACCTCGCCATAGTCTGAGTACTTCACAACTGACGACAAAGGACTACTTAAATATTCGGTTAAGAATGAGGTAGCAGAAAAGTGCGGTAAAATCAGCCAACACCGACCAGGACTAGGAAAAACTGCACAGTGAAAACGTAAGAGATATAGAGGTGAAAAGGACGTTCTCATATTTGCAAACGCACTTCATTATCTACAACGTTTGCCAAAAACCACAATATTAAAAGAAAACCGCTAGTCTTGCACATTGCGACAAAAACAAGCGCAGATACGACACAATACAAAAGCTGTGCCGAGTTCATGTTGAATCCATTAAGATCAATGTAAAGTTCTGAAAGATTCCACACCTGGGTAAAGGAGCTACAATTTTGTTCTCGGTGTAATGGGACATGTCCATCGCTTGATTCTGGAACGACTGCAGCAGCGGCTCCAACGAGGATTTATCTTCTTGGGAGCTGAAATCTTATATTCTAGTGCTACCAGGAGTCAATCGGTTTAAATAAGGTGAATTTGGCTGTTGAAAAAGATTCCCCAAAGTTTTCATTCCTAACGGCACGCTCTGTTTTCCTAAGTTCCATAACGGATTCTATAAAGCTCAGAATACATAGAATTATCTTAACCATTACACCACACATAATGCATGAATAGATTTTTATCATGAACAATTTATTACAGATGCGGTTCAGACCCCGTTTCATACATTTGTATAGAACAAAGAACTGGGCTTTACCAGGAGAAATCTGGTTCTGCATAATCCGAGGAAATCACGATCATTGGACATTTTTCTAGTAGCGCATTTTCCATGTTGTCCCTTGCCATTTGAAACGTAGAAGGTGAAATCGGCTACAACGAATAGTATACACGGCAAAACAAAGAAACCCAAATCCCCTCGAAATACCTTGAAAGCGCCTCCTTTAAAGCTGAGATGAGCACTGTGGGGCGGTGAAGAAGTTCGGATCTTGCCTCGTTTACGGTAGAAGCACAGGACGGCTAATGGAGAGGCCATAGTAACAACTAGCAGACAAAAGAGTACTGGAAAAAGAGAAAGAGTCGTGTAGATTTCTCCAACGAACATCAGTTTTCATGTTTTCGCTCAAGAATTTGGACTAGAGTTTGTGAACATCAGTAACGGTGTGCTTGACGTAACCTTAATTGGCACTGATCTCCACAAAGAACCGACGCTTGGTTTTCCGAAAAACTTTTTTCATTGTTTATGCTTCCAATGCAAGCGTGTCGTCGACTTCTACTTGCAGAGGCGACTTAGTCATCCAAAAAGAGGTCGGGCAGATAATGAACGACCATTCTCTTAGTTAAAAGATCCCGATAAATCGTTAATCACGTGATTTCTTAAAGTCAAATCATGGTTTTCTTTATCAGAAATGTATTCGAAGTATTAGTTTGTCGAACAGTAGCAGAAAAGATCTCACCCCTAAAGTATGATTAAAAATATAGGAACATTTTTTGAGATGGCGTTTTTTCTAAACCCCGTTTGGTTGATTATTTAGCGTAGTTTTCACTCACACATGATGTCGACTCGCCCCTCGACGTCTGACTCGCCTACTGAGAAGTAGGTGATGTTTTCCGATTGGTCATCGGCGTCGGCAAAGTGAACGAACTCAGGCCGATATGCATTCGACTCAAAGCGAACCTCGGATAGTAGAAGCCAAGAAGATCCGATCCCAAAGTATAAGCGGAGCTGAAAATAACTTGAGGATTTCGCCATTTATTAACTGCAGCTCATAAAGCAATCATGGCCAATTGTGTGAATTACTACATAGTTTTATATCTATTCGAAAAACACCTGCACGACAGAAGCAATGCGATTTGGAATGGGAATTCGAATCCATGACGTCGAAATCGTCGTCTGGGTGACGTATTCCACAATACGAGAAGAAAAATCAGCTCCATTGAAAGAAAATGAGAGTAGCGCTCGAGAAAACACCTATAATACAAAAAAGGTAATTTAAAAGGTAAAAAAGGTAATAAAAAAGGTAAAAAAGGCAAAAAAGGTAAAAAAGGTGGTTGTTGTATTTCGATAAGAAGAATGAACACGTTGGAAAATTCCCTTCTTTAACTTGTCGTCAAACCACCAATAAAATCTCCATATTCCTCATTGCCTCGCTTCAGATCTCCTCGATCGAACCATCAACTATATGAATAGCTGATCAACGCTGTCAACTGCCCCACAAGTGTTCTCATGAAGGAAAGCAACTGCGAAAGTCCAGACAAGAGCTCACCTGCGCACCTAGCGTAGACGAATGCAGCGCATGCAGACTGACCGAAGAGAAGTTCCTCAGCTGCGAAAATGTAAACAGCAAACTAACAAAACCACCTGCAATGCCTAATTTTCGCAGAAATACTAAACCTAGTACTAAATCACAACATTAGAAGGTTACCCAGAGAATTCGCCGAATAATATAAGTGAGTTTTAAGATGCGAAACTCGCGATTATTTACATACTAGAACCCATTGTCTCATCATAGGTGAGATTCATCGGGCTATGTCGCATGCACGTACTGCGTATATTTCTTCTGTTATGAAGATTTCTATTGCTACATATCTCTCATAAAGTTTCATGCGACAAATTGGTTAAAGTGGTTAAAATGGTTAGTTGAGAGACAGGCGAAACGAAGGTGCCGCATGGCGTGGTGGTGAACGCGTTAGCCCCCTGAAAGGCTAGTAGTGCGTTCGTTCCCCACTGCAAGCACCTGCGCTACTGAGTTTTGCGCACATAATACCGTGCCGTGAAATATTGTAATAGCAGTAAATAAAAAGCTAACAAATTGGTTATTGCTAATAATATAGCCACTTAGAATAGCACACTTTTTTGACCAGTGTTTTGCCATCTAGTTCGGTTCCCCCTGTCAGCACACTTTGTTCTTCTCGTGTTATTCTTAGTTAAGCGAGTTTGCTTTTTTTCACGATTTTTATGCACTTTATGATAAGAAACCAGCTGCAATTTTTTAATTTGCACATTACTGCACATATGCAAATGAGTGGAATAGAAAACCTTACCTTTCGGCGATGACCTTCGCCAGCCAACCCATTGATGCGGGAAGTGGTCTGGATCAGTGCCAACGATACCGTCAGTCAGTCGGCCTAAACCACCGACAGCGATCCCATTCGAAGTAGTGCCGTCGTAGGTTGAGTCCAGAAAATTCCCACCGCTTCTGTTAGAAGTTGACGGTGCTGAGTAAGATTGAAGAGGATCTGGAAGTGAAAGAATCAGTGGAGAAAAGTAGAAAGTTAAATCAAGAATTTTTCTGACAATTGCTCCAAGTGATTTTCATCGAAAAGATAAATGAATCAAGCATTAAGAAACAATTCTCGATTTTAAAAAGCCTAGGCAGGCTTGAGTAAAAAATTTGCCAAAGGGGATTAATATCCTGCGAAACATAGAAAGGGTTTAGTCATTCGAAAAGAAAATCCGAAAAAGCTCATTAATCATTTAAACAAAAATTTTCTACGCAAAGCACCGCTACATTTTACTCTTTGACACACATCGTACAAGGACAGAAAATATTCATAACAAGGCGCTATTGCAGAAAAAGGTCATTGCTTTGTTTCACCTCACCCTTGTAGGATCTAAGCAATTAGAACGAAATTCATTATCTTAACTCTTTTATTTACTGCCCTTTTCTTCTTAATGGCAGGGTATGTTGTGAAATATAACTCGTATGAAGTGCTGAGATATCTGCAAAACTCCGGACCACAGGTGTATGCAGTGGAGAACGAACTTTTAAACTTTTTCCTTCGCTTTGCATGTATCTCAGCTAGTTCTATCGATCTTTTTGCCATCAGCAATCACCCGTCAACGGGATTGATCTGGGGAGCCAATATCGGCATTGAACCCAGTTAAGCTGAGGCCTCGTTATAATCACAATCTTAACTCTTTTATTTACTGCCTTTTTCTTCTTAATGGCAGGGTATGTTGTGAAATATAACTCGTATGAAGTGCTGAGATATCTGCAAAACTCCGGTTTAAACTTTTTCCTTCGCTTTGCATAAGTTCGTTCTCCACTGCATACACCTGTGGTCCGGAGTTTTGCAAAAATTCATTATGTTAAATCTAATAGGGTAGCGAAGTGTAACAGTAACCTTCGTATGTACATCCGTAGAGTTCGAGCCTCAGGCAGACGGTTCTCGTCGTGTTCGACAACGGGACGATTCGTACCCGCCGAACGACGATTGGTGCATCCAGCACACGCTTTTCGGCCGTCCGTGTGTCACTGTTGCCCAAAAGAGTCTGTAAAACAGAGACGTCGAATCACATTACGCAAAAATGGAAAGCGATTAGTTGGTCCGACTACTACAATGATAAAGGATAAAACGTTGGACCTAATCGAGCCCTGAAGGGTGATGCTCCATGCATTCGATTTCGTCAAGCACCATAGAGGTGCGCACACACGCACACACGTCATTGCACAGTGCATTTACGCACACAAGGTCTGTGCAATGACTCACAGTGTCTTACTGATGCATCGAGACAGTACCGCATTTCTGCCAGAAAAATTGAGTACCAAATCGTTGATTATGAAGCGATAGAGAGATTAGTGGAGGGAGGAGCGAGGATCAAACCGGCGACCTTTTTACTCTATCATCGTATCATTGTGTAACGATTATTGTGTACTGCAGAACACTTCTAACTACTGAGTTAAACGTGATTCCTGACAACTTATCGGCTGGAGAAATAGGGTTAATCCTTCACCCAGAAACACATGGTTTTTTCATAGATCAAGGCATTTGGACGAGCCATAACGGGTACATTTACAACAGCAGAAGCTTCACTGATGAATTTCGAGATCGCTCCTTTTCTCCGGTGACCCTCGCCACTGTCTAGCCAAAAACACTGCGCTATGCATGCGTTTGCGCAACTGATCGCTAGCACTCCCACAGCGTGACTAATCGGATTGTAGCTAGACCCTCCACTACCAAACCATTTTCGGATTAACTAGTCAATGGAAAGTACGAAATTAGAGACCGGCAAAACACTTTAATTATGGAACTTATCGCCGAAAATCTCCAGAATCAGTGAAGCTCTGTGGAAAATGAGCTTAGTTGCACCATTTCAGTTAGCATTCTGGCAGCTCTTTCGTCGCAAAAGAACTGGAAGGCACCCCATGTTAGTTACTGCAAGAGCTATCAATTATAGAGATAGTTGCGCCAAAGGAAATTATTTAAGAAGAATGGGTATGCGATAAGTTGCGCCACAAAATAGAACCCTACGCGGTTCGCATATCACCTCTGCAAATAGTAATTGAATGGAAAACGATTCACATAGTCTGAAGAGGGTGATTAAAGGATTAACCTATGCATAGCAAGTTAAAAAATTAGTGGTTGATTGAATTTTAGAAGGTTGAATTGAAATGTGAGCGGACTAGAACACATTGTTTAATCCCTTTGTCCACAACGGATTGAGTGGCGTGCAAGTTAAACCTTTTGTGTGGCCGCTCCCGATACCCACTAGTTGCGCATGAGCCGCCATAACGAGCATCTGCTCCCAGACAGTTGAGAATTGCGAATGTCATCAGACAACACCATATGCGATCAGCTGTTCGCTATCGAGAATCACCTAAATGGGAGCGACCTCTACGCTCCACTCAGTGCTCTGTCTGAAGCGCTTAGTTGCTTAAAGAACTGCATCTAGAACTCCAGTGTTGCACTGTCATTTTGCCTTCTAGCTTCGACTTCAATCTGGTACTATTCTTTTTAGACAGAAAAATAAGAAACAAAATCTGAAGAAACCAGTAAACCTAATAAAAAACATGTGCATCAGGATGATTTTAAGAGGATTGTCGACGTAATCACCATTTCTAAAGCAGAAATTTTTTGAAAGCTGTGCTCTCAAACGTTGACACTTCTTTGTCATTTAGCTTAACATTCAGTGATAACACGTAACCATCTGCATAAATCTCATATATGAAGCAATCCTAGCAAAAATAGGCAAACTAGTGAGGTTTGGTAAGATATAGTCTTGAATGCACCTCGATTCCATCATCATTCCTGTAGGAGAACCAGCTTCTCAGATTTGGTCTCCAATACTCAATCTTGAATGCTCGAGCAAACTCCATACCACGACCCTCATCGAAGCGGCCTTGCACCTCCACGGCAGTCAACACTACAAAATTACCTGTGAGAATACTCAAATAATTGTTTTCCTGAAAAAAAAACTGGTAAAACTGATCATTTTTATTGATAAATCATTATTACTTGGATATCTGGATACTTGGATGGCCCGCTCTTACAGGTTGTGCAGGTCCCAGCATAATCTCCATTTTTTCGGAGTTTTGCTAGCTTAGCCATTGTGGTTTCCTAGAATGCCCAGGTCAGCCAGGCCAAAGTCTACTCCAAATCGTTACCATCACTGGCAGTCGCCGCCCTTGTGTATCAGAGTGAGATTTGCCACAACGCGACTAGTTTGATACTAAGACGGTGACGGATCCTGGTATTTGCTTATTCTTAGCCGGGCTTCCTAATAGAAACGCCGGACTCCTTCTCAGCTTAGGTGACCTGCTGAGGAACGAATTTCCTTGCTGTACATCGGAGCCCGACACCCAGGAACGCCTCCCAGCCATGATGAGGAGGTAAACCATTGGGAGGAAGTAAGAATAATGTCTATCTTACTAGGTCAATAAGAAAGCAAATAACAACAAGGGGAAAGTGCTCCAAATGTGGACTTCTTCACGTTTCTGAGAGTAACATACAATTCGTGCCCTTCATATTTGGCCTATTGCAATTTGGCCGGTCCTTTCAAATAAGGTAAACTGCATATCGGCTGTGCTGTAGAAATAACGACCGTCTTCGTCATCATGAATTTCACGAACACATTTCATCATCACAATTGTTGTTTGCATTACTCCTGTTTGCAGTTTGAACATATTGGCTACCGTGAAGGTTTTTTGAGAAGTGCGGATAATTGTGCAGTAACTAGAGTACTTCGGGAACTGAGAACTTGACAAATTTATAAAGGAGGCTTTCCCAAAGATGTATTAAAAAAGCTCGAGCGTCGAAGAATTTTAATCAGCACTTAATTTTTAAATTGAACTTAGGGGATTGAGAACTTGACAGATTTATGCAGTAGACTTTGCCTAAGGGCATATATAAAACTCGAACGATGGATAGTTGGAAAAAAAACTTAATTTTGTGAAATTTTTAACTTAGCGCTCCACTCGCCATTACCATTGACTTCCAATCTCCGTAAAATGGAATAATGTTTTGCATCGTTGAAAATTTGAAATTTTGTTCGCTGTGCAGTCATTTTCAGTACAATAGTATTCCTAAGACCCCTGGACTTATTTTCGTAATTTGACCTCCGCTGAAGTTATCAATGCAACAAAGTCGTATTTTTTGCTTCACTAATTCAAATGTGACCACACCGGACAACGTGTGATGTTAATTGAGGGCGGGGTCCGGGAAAAGGCTCGGAGTGTACGGTGCGCAGATGGTTCGGAAAGTTTCAGACCGAAGGTAACCTTCTTCACTATGAAGAGCGTTGAAGGCAACTACTGACAGCTCATAGAACAAAAACTCTTAATCATCTTCCGAAGCAGAATTCGTACCAATAGAATTTCACAGTGACTCTTTGACGCGGTTTAAACGGACTAATTCAACACAAGCTTCCTCATCAAGATAAAAGAATGCCAACAATTCCTCACTTCTAATCAAATTTACTAGAGCGTAGTCTACACATTCTACACACGTAAAAGTAGTCAAGCAAAGAGATCAAAGATTTTAGCACGACAACGCCCGACCAAACATAGAACAGCTACTGCTGCAGAAATCAAAAGAATTGAGCTGCAACCTCGACAGCTTTATCCAAGCAGGAAGAACATCAAAAGTCTATTAAAAATTGCTTGGAGAATTTCTTCACCACCAAACCTTTATACCGTAGAAATAAAAGAAACTTAAATAAAAGAAGTTCTTGCCAGAAATGTAAATACTTCAATGGATACTATCTTATTGCAGTTTCATCCGTTTATAGTACTTCAAACGCAGTTTAAAATCCGCCAACATCTATTATTCCACCAGTTTAATTCTGTTAAAATATAACTTGCATAATGCTGAGATATTTGCAAAATTCCGGACCGCAGATGTCTGCGGTGGGGAACGAACGCGCTATTGTTCTTTCCGGGGAGTAACGCGTTCACCACCACAAAAAGAAGGTTAAGAATGCGATTGGGGCCTATGGCCTCAACTTAACTGGGTTCAATGTCGATTAGAGACTCCAGATCAATCCCGTTGACGAGTGATCACTGTTGGCAAGAACTAGCTGGGAAAAAGGCAAAACGAAGGACTAGTTCTATCGATCTTTTGCCATCAGCAAGCACCCGTCAACGGGCTGAGAGACAGGCGAAACGAAGGACCCGCACGGTGTGGTGGTGAACGAGTTACTCCTCGGAAAGGACAATAGCGCGTTCGTTTCCCACCGCAGACACCTGCGGTCCGGACTTTGCAAATATCTCAGTATTATACAAGTTATATTTCGCAACATACCCTGCCGCTAAAAGAGAATAGGCAGTAAATAAAAGGTTAGGATCTATTAAAATAATCAAAAGATAGCTAGTTAGTTATGGAGAATACGAGGAAGGAAGATCTCTTCTCGAAAAAATATATAAAGTCCCTCATTCGTCTCGTTTGTGCATCCAAAAGGCAACCCTACCTGTGTCCTTGGCAAACGTGATTTGAATCCACTCCTTATTCGTATTGTTCACCTGGTGTAAAGGGCACCACGCTCCACTGCCGGTGTGAGTTCGAGCTCTGAAGAAAAATCTTTATACTCACAAAGTTTTTTAATCCCTAGTTGTGCTAAGCGATTTGTAATGCTGCATGGCAATTCATGGATTTATCACGACTCGTTGAGCTCAATTGGCTCCGCAACCCGCATTTCCGCACTCCCGCGAATGAGGCATCTGAATTTCAATGATGAAAATGAGAAAGAGTACCAATCAAAGAGCTATCATTCTAGGACAATGTGAAGTGTTCCTGTTCCAGATTACTCTTGCCTGTTGTGATTTTTCCACTGTATTCTAACCGAGTCTTGAATGCTCGCTGGTGCCAGCCTAATATTCCCTTGACATATGGATGCCACCATTGACAGCGGTAACTAGCGACCCGCCGCACTCGCGAAAACAATTTAACTTGATAATGTGCTTCATGAAGCGTATGCTGCTATTGCTCATCAAAGCCACCCATCACTAATTGTGATCGACGCACTAGAGGTTGCCAGAATCAAAAGTGATTGGTTTAAGAGTTCCGAATCTTAGATCTACGACGATCGTCATCGTATTTCCACAAACGGAAACATACCGGTTTCAATGAGCCTCACTGAGTTTCTAAAAACATCAAAAAAATCATGAGAAAATTTTAGCCTTTAAAATCTTTGAAAAACCTTGATCTTTAAAATTATAAAAATAGCCCTAAATATCCTTCCATTGGTGCCATAAGTTCTTCACAAAACACTAATCATAGAAATCGGCCTGAATAATCTATAGAATTAGTGCAAAGTTTAAACTTACTGAAGTACTAACATTTGTTCGCCCCAGCGTGTTTGAATGAAAGATGTGAAGAATAGGACAGTAAGTACCTTGCGTGTTGAGGGCCAGTACTGTCTCCGTCGAACGATGATGAAGCACTCAGTTGATCATCCCTGAGTTTGCCGCTCGTCAAGCCTAAGGGCTCGTTACACTCGCCTGAAAGTTGAAAATATCTCACTTCAAAAATAATATCCATCTACTCATTTTACTTAGACATATGTGGGGATTTTGAATCTCGCAATCTTTTGAACCATGGCTGAACCAGTTATACTACCTAGCGCGGCAGATTGACTTAAACCTTCCGTATAGACGTAAGTATACTTCTTATGTCGGGATGTTTGCACGTGTGAGGATTGCATCTTGGGAATGAATGGAATGGAGGTGGTTCATCACCATCTCTAAAAACTCTTCAACAACTAGGAGACACATCTATTACCAGACAAGCAAGATATTTACGAGTGTAGCAAACGCTGCCCTCTAACCCAACACATAGCCTCTCGTTAAAACCAGTAAAGGTGAATGGATTAAAACGAAAAATTTTATGCTTTTCATATACATAAATTAGATCTGCAAAAAGAATAAAGTCCGTGCTGTTTTATGACATCAATGGCTTCACTGGTACCTTTCAACTCCACTGAAAATTTACGGAATAAAAGTTCACGTAAGTCGTAAGTGCTCCCCAGATCAGACCCGCTGATGGTTGATCGCCGATAGCAGCGTTAGGTTGGAAACAAGCTGAGAGAAACGCAAAGCAAGTGCTGCAGTGTGTAATACGCAAGCCCCCCAGAAAGGGTAATCGTGGTTCGATTTGATCCGCGGTCAAAGTTTTGCGAATATCTCAGCATCAGTGTGGTTGTACTTCACATCATACCTCGCCGTGAAAAATTAAAGTAGGTAGAAAATAAAAGGTTAACATTGTAAGTCGCTTAGTTATTTAATGAGCACGAAACCATAGACTTGCGATAGAAGGGTATTCTGAGACCGGAGTAGTTGGCCTGCTCAACGGAGGCCAAATATATGCATAGTAATTTGGTCTAAATCGGTATGCAATGGTTACTCCGCTAATTTATGGGGATTTGCACTGTTTATAGAAGTAAGGTGAAAAAGATGCGTTTTATGTAGGAAATCTCGGAAAGTCTGATTCTAAAGTTCGAGTTCGAGTTCTAATCTCGGAAATTATTCATACAAAAAACTGAGTAGCCTAAACACTGGCCTTATTTTTGTTTAATACCAATTAACTTTTACTTTCCCAATAGCATGCCGCTTCATAGCGACTGGGGCAAAATTCGCTCCACAGCTGGGTTTTCCAGGATGAACAGGTGTTCGGCATTTCCATTCAAAAGCGTTGCCAGCGGTAAACCAGTGAGAGTAGTCGTTCCCATTCTGGTAACGGGGAAAAGCCGTAGCAATGCTTTCGAGACGCCAGGCTAGGAAGATCTTACCCGACCAGCAAATTGCTGGTAAAAAGGAAATGGTACAGGGCGCGCCCACGAGATCCTTCATGATTCATGCAGGCCAGCATCTAGGATACTTAACTATTCAACCACGCTTTTTGTTAAACGAATGACAAATTTTACGGATTACACTATAGTTTAGCTACAGTCATTTCAACAATTTCAGCATGAAAAAAAGAAAAAAGAGATTTATTATTTTGTATAGTATAGAGGATAAAGGATAAAGCTCTGAGCTGATCAATCCCTGAGGGATGCGCTATGCATTCGATTTCACTAAGCATCGTTTGGAGGTGATTGAATGCATATATGGCTTTTACAATTACTCATGGCGGCCTGCCGATGTATCGTGCCAGTGCTGTTTATCCTCCCAAACAAGTCTGGTACCAATTTGCCGACCCCGGAAGGATGAAAGTTTTGGCGGTCCATTGGCGCGAGGATCGATTCCACGTGTGTGTTGCAGGGCGCCACGGACCACTGCGCCGCACGCGCCATCATTTGATTTTGTATAGTAAGGAAAAGTGTAATCGTCCGAATTTTGTCTCAGGCTTATGGAACATTCAATTAGTAAGTTTCTTGCTTTCTTCCTCTTTCTTTCATTCGAAGAAAGCTTCCTTTCAAAACCATTGCAAGTTATGAGGACGGTACCACACTTCCATTTAACATGGAGAAGGTTTCAAATTCAGACGGCATGAAAGTCGAAACTCACTGTAAAGGCCTTTCCTTTCCAATCAAAACCGCTTGTCCTCCCTGCTAAGAGCTCCAGCGCAGCCACGTGGTCAGGTTTTCCTACTCACAATGCCATGACAACTGATCTATGTTACACGTGCCTTTTCGGTAAGCACTGTGTATTCAGCCGCAGTGTTTTCCACGTGCAGCAGAGGTCACGTTGTGGGTGTATCTATTGCGATACGATTTCTATCTCTCTACTAAGCGTTGGCGACGTAATCTGGCACTTAGTGATTGTGTTTAGGACTTTTTTTTATCCCCATGAACATCGTCTCGTTTCGACGAATTGCACAATTGTGTTCTTAGTTTATAGGAAATCGCAAATGTGGTCGAGTTTTTCAATCATTCGGGCGCTGCAAGGCGATCGACAGATAATTTTACGACTGCACTCCACAACCAGTCCTAGTACCGACACAACTAGTTCAACCAGAAGGTTTTGCTAAATAAGTGCATCAGTTATGAGAACCTTCCAAGATAGGAGTGAAAATGGAATCATACCATGGGTCCGGATCGATATAAATTCGAATCCAGTGTTGGGAAACATTGTAGGTTAGCTTGGGTCAGGATAACAAAGATTGTCTCCTCTCTGAATGAACACTAATTGGATATATCGCAATATGAAATTGCACCTCACTATGGAAATATGGAGTTTTATCAGATAGCGTTGTTCTCCTTAAAACGTTATACTTCTAGTCACCTGTGGATGATTCACTCATATAAAAATTACAGTCAAGATTACAGTCAACCAAAAACTCTTTCGTATTAGTCTGCGAACCACATTCAATGCCTACCACCATCACTGGACCCCTTAAAGTGAGCTGAATGGCATAGTAATCAGCCAGATGATGCTGCCAATGGCGCAATCGCTGCTATCTAAACACTCTTTAGTTGTCTCATAATGATGCTCTAAGATTCTCAACCAACATTTTCTTTCAATCCGATATAATATGTCTCATGGGACGGATAGCACAGTGGTAGTGGTGACCATCATCAGGTGCTAATTCGATTCCGCTCCGGGCCAACCAAGGCCCTCTGCCCTCCGCTGTCGGAAAATTGGTACCGGACTTGTCTGGGAAAAAATCACTCTTTGCAATCCAATTGGGAACACTCCAGCCTAGCTATCCCAGGACTCCAAGCAGCATTGGGCGACCACCATTCTACGACATTCAAGATTAAATGAAAATCCTTAAGCAGCAACCGAAGTCTCATCTAAAAACTTGGAAGACCTTCATGGACGATGTAAGCTAAGACACGAAATGGATGTAAGAAGTGCTGGGATCCGCACAGTGGACGTGAAGACGGATCAAATAAAATAAAATAAAAAAGCTATATCTCTATCTATAAATCTCCGTAACCCAGATCATGATCACCAGGGAATAAGACCATAACACATTTGGATATTTTTGTCCTTGGAACCTTGTTTTTTTTTCTTCGCCAACTGGGTTTGGTTAGGAAGGCCCAGATCAATTGGCCGCAGCAAAAATCGTAAACGTTTCAAGTATTTCTGATAAAGACATATATCTTTTTCTCCGGAGTCTCGAAATAATCGTACTAGACCGTTACCAAACTTTCGTTATGGATAATCAAAATTCTTTCTGGGTAAAAGGAAGGTACCTCGAATTCGATCATGTTTTTTCTAGATGATGCGTACTCTTTACGTAACTGCACGCATTTCAACTTAGGACATTAATACTGCGCCCAATCTCGGCTTAAAAAAACCAACAAAATTAACCGTTTGGCATCCATATCACCATACAGCGACGTTTGACACATTCATCATGATGAGGTGGTGAACCATGGAACCGCAGCACAGCATGATTTTCTAGCACATAAGGCACTTTGAAACATTACTCATCACCATGACAAGTCCAGCCTTCATTTTTATCGGCTACTCATTCACAGGATCAGTTCCGATATCCAGAGGATTGTTTCAAGTCGTTGTTCATACATGCCTTAAACGAGGATTTGAACAATCCAGAGCACTTTGTTCTGCGTGGAACTCCTCTTCTTGGTACCGATTCGATCTTGTTGTCTTTCTTCACCAAGGATCACGGTTGACAACGCTTGGTTAGTCCTGGGTGACGACCACTATACAGCGATAGTGTGATTGACACCTGCCTAAGTGATCGTAAATCCTCATAGTTTCCGCGGTTTTTTGACGTAGACGGATGGCATGTAACGGGGTGTGGATTAATGGCGTTAAGGCCTCTCTACGTCTATCAGCTAACTCAACGACAACGGTACGTCAAGACGAACTGCTCTACGCCATTGGCACGAGCCATTAACACAATCCTGAGTTCCTGGCGGGAGAGCGGCGAGGTCATCTCGTGGCCGCGAATCATTGTCAGCATGTACGAGCGCTTTCAGCACTTCTTTCACTATTAGTAACAGTCTCGAAATGAATTCTAAAGTGAACGACTTCATTTCTTAAATATGAACGATGAAGAAATGCGGTTCTGTAGTGAGCAGAGTATGTTATGACATTCGGTGAGAAAACCTCTACCATCAATTTCATTCACAGATTACAGCAATAAGATCACCTTAAGGAGTCCCAGTTTAGCTCGGCTTTCCGAATGGAATACGAGCAATATTTTGTCGGCCTTCCTTTGTCGTTTCAAAAGTATGAATGACATAGGTGCTACTATTTATTATCTATTACTATGGCTCAAAAATGAATTGGTGTCAGCACTTGGAAATATTTTGCACCCTGTGTTAGGTCTATTTTGGTGTTCTTTTATATCCGCATATTCCGCATAGTGACCATAGTGATTTAAATGAAATAACAGTTACTCAGCTAGTCAACTTACCGGTATATGAGGGAAAGAGTTTTCTGTAAATCATTGATTATATTAGGTGGTTTTTCGCCCCTCTCCCCTACTATTATGATCTGATGTAAATAAGCCTATCAAATGGATACACATAGTTCATTTAAAAAGATTCTGGAGCGCATTGAACTGAAAATGGACACTATACTGTTCGCACAAGGTGTTATGGGTTAGAAGAAATTCTTGGTAGT